CAGTGTCATGAAAGAAAGGGATCTTGGTGTAATGGTTGATCAGTCTCTTAAGTCATTCAAGCAGTGTGCCATTGCTAGTGGTAAGGCAAATAGGATTTTATGTTGTATGTACAAAATATTGAATACAAGACTAAAGGGGTTATGATTTCATTGTATAGGATTTTGATGTAATGGGAATAACTGAAACACGGTTAAACATAGATGCCACATTTGGGGTATAGTATTCAACCTTGGGCTCCTTACCTTAGGAAGGACATTTTAAAATTTGTTTGTTTAATAGTTTTAACTTAGAGGATGGGACAGCTGAGATGGAACAACAGGTACACTGTTGTCCCTAAACATTATGTTATATGTTGTTATCTTCTGTTAATCTACATTGATGATATATTATCATCACTGCTGATTATTTAACTCTTGTTCTCCAACACTCATGACTTTCACCTTCATATTTACATATCTGTGTTCTATCACCAGCTTTATCAGTGCTGACAATACTTTTACCTTCATATTTACATATCTGTGTTCTATCATCAGCTTCATCAGTGCTGACAATATTTTCACCTTCATATTTACATATCTGTGTTCTATCATCAGCTTCATCAGTGCTGGCAATACTTTTACCTTCATATTTACATATCTGTGTTCTATCATCAGCTTCATCAGTGCTGACAATACTTTCACCTTCATACTTACATATCTGTGTTCTATCATCAGCTTCATCAGTGCTGACAATACTTTCACCTTCATACTTACATATCTGTGTTCTATCATCAGCTTCATCAGTGCTGACAATACTTTTACCTTCATATTTACATATCTGTGTTCTATCATCAGCTTCATCAGTGCTGACAATACTTTTACCTTCATATAAGTTATTAAGTTGAAAGTATAGACTATATACATATATATATATATTTTTTTTGTTACCACAACAAATCATGAAAAGCTACTTGATGCCCAAGACCAGTTAAAGCGTAAGTGAAGTAAGAAAAAAACCCTGTATTTTCAGTAAAAGTAGTATTAATATGAAAAAGCATATTTCTTATGTTAATGGAGAATACTGAAGATATGAACAGTTTCTACCTGAAGACATGAATATTCCCAGTGTCTGTTGCTGCTGCTAAAGATTGAAGATTGTGGCAGCTTGTCAAACTTATCACTTGACCATCTAAACAGAAAACAATACATATGGTTACTGTACTGAAAATGTTATATAATGTTTTACAAAAGAACATTCAACCATATTTATCAAAGCTTCCATTCTCAAGACAAGTCAGGGAAACTTTCCTTAAACTTCAAGTAATAGATTTCAATGTATTTATTAAGTATATTTGGAGCCTAGTAGTTAACTCAAGAAGAAAATGTAGTTATGTTTAATATATGTCCTCACCTTCTGTTAAATATTGTTTAGTAATTCACTAATGATGTCATTATATTAGTTTAAACATTTGTGGTAAAGTAAACATATTTTAATCAAGTGAATATTTCTGCAACTACAATTTAAGTACAAGTCAATAATGTAAAATAATGCTAATGTAATAGTGCACAAAATAACAGGAATTTTTGTGGTTTGACTTAGGAGTCTGCATTTCTTTAACAGGCTAGAGAAAATAACGAATTAATTAATTATTTGATGAATATTTTAAGAGTATTAATTTTGACATAAATAGCAGTCATTCAATTAATATGAGGCAGTAGATGTTATTAGAAGGGTTACATGTGAAAACTGTTAAATATGTTATGATCTTGGATGTACATAATATACTTTTCCTCACCCGTAAATGTATTTTAGGTAGATACGTGATTCTCTGCACCATAAAGAGCAATTAACTTGTGTAGATTGCCATGAAATTTCTTGCACGTGCCACAAGTCTTGAACAAAGCTCCCACCCGATGATGTCAATATATATTACATCAGTCTATGACATAATCATCATTAGACTACAGCCCTTCATCAACAGGAAAGCAACATATCCTCCATGCACAGAACTAGCACAGGAACACAAGATCATTCTTGATGAGGCAAACAAAATGCATCAGAAGTGGGAAAGAAGGTAGGGAGGTTAAACAGAGAGGTATCTATCTGAAATACATTTTCAGGAAAGGAAAACAACTTCAGAAACATTACTGGAGGGGCTGGTGCAGAGAAATTACAAAGAAGAACTCCCTTCTGAAAACAACATTAGCAAGAGAAATCCCATGGAGCATGAGGCAGGGTCTAGCACTCAGTGGGAGACAACATTCACCTCAAACAGGGAATACTCTTCACCCAATATAGGTGACAGAAAAAAAAATATCTTCTCAAAAGAATCTTTTGCTAAACCATCCATTATTTCACAAACATTAGTTAGTAATGTAACTAGGGCTATAAGTCAAGCCACTCCATATTTGAGAAATACTTACATGAGATACTCACTACAAAAATCAGGAGCAAGGAGTAGCATTCATGACTCGTATCCCAAGACCCACCTGGCTGGACCTAACCACCAAGAATGGCTAGGTTCATAATGCGATGGAATGTCCTATACTACACTATCATGTAACGCATCAGTCCTACTTTCCAAACAAGTGCTTCTACTCAACCTCCTATACTACACTACCATGTAACGCCTCAGTCCTACTTTCCAAACAAGTGTTTCTACTCAACCTCCTATACTACACTACCATGTAACGCCTCAGTCCTACTTTCCAAACAAGTGCTTCTACTCAACCTCCTATACTACACTATCATGTAACACATCAGTCCTACTTTCCAAACAAGTGTTTCTACTCAACCTTCTACCACTGAGATTACACCATCCAATGTGTAACTCTCCTATACTACACTATCATGTAACACATCAGTCCTACTTTCCAAACAAGTGCTTCTACTCAACCTCCTATACTACACTATCATGTAGCACCTCAGTCCTACTTTCTAAACAAGTGTTTCTACTCAACCTTCTACCACTGAGATTGCACCATCCAATGAGTAACTCTTTATATCAACATCTTTAGTGGCTCGAAACTGGGGAAGCAAGGGTTCTTCCATACTCTACTAGAAGAAATAGGGGAGGATTGCCTCGTGGGGTAGAACACCAGAGAGGTACATGGACCACTTTCATCAGTTACAATCATCTAGAATTAGGTCCCATAATGGGAGACAGTAGAATGGGTTAACACAGGTAAAGACAGCAGGTGCAAGTCAGGCGTGAGGACAGGCACCTGGTGTTTCTCTTTTACACTACAGTGCAGAAAGGCCTGAAAGATAAAATAAAAAACTGTGAATATAAAAAAAAAACTGTGAGATGACAAACCAGATGGGAAAAAAAAAAGACTTGAAAAATAAAAAAAGGATCAACACCCCAAAAATAAGAAATTAGCCAGTTGGGTGTATAATACAACCAGTCACCCCAAGTAAGATGATTCCTAAAGGAGAAGGAGGCTGCAACAGATTAAGCTGCATTGGAAGGGGCAAGTAGAAGGAGGATGCAACAGATTAAGCTGCATTGGAAGGGGCAAGTAGAAGCCAATTATCTATAGACTAATGGAGGAACAGAATACACGAATGTAATTGAGAAAAACCTACCAGACTCATTGAAAAAGATGGGATCATAGCCAACTCAAAGGGAAGGACTGAGAACCAAACATTTCACCATTACAGATGAACTTATGGAAGGGAAAGGCAGGCAGTTAAATTGGAATGCAGAGACATTGTCTGAGACCCCAAATTGTATCATCCACTACCGAGGAAAGTATTCACTGAAGAGTCAGAAACCTGCCCATTAGGAACTGAGGAAAGACCAAAGCTGGATCAAGTTCAACAGATTTATATATGGCTGCAACAATCTTCAATTTTTGTAGGAATGAGAAAAAGACTGAGTAAAACCCTAAAGTGTGGTTAGGTATTGTCCCATAGCTTTTGAAACAGGTGAGGTGGAGAGTACAAGTACAGGAACAATTCCTGATAAAACAACTGAGGAAGTCAGGTTGTAGCCAGTGGAGTCAACCAGTGGAAGTGACAATGTGGGAAAAGCAGAGCTCTACAGTATAAGATTGGTGGGGTGGGTCCACAAACAAATCACCTCCAAGAATCGTGATAGCCAGCCTGCAAAAAAGAAGACTAGATGTAGTAACAAGAGGACAATAAATGAAGAGGGTGACCTCCATGAGGTAAATACAATGAGCAAGAAACCAAAGTGAGTACAGATGAGTCCTGAAGAGCTCACCCAGCTCAAGAGGTCAATGTATAAAAAAATATTTAGTACGGGCCACATAACACTTCAAGGCCCTCATCAGACATGACAAACAATTGGGATCCGATCAGTCATAAAGATGAGAAATTGCAGTCAGATGAATTGGTGAAGGAGGATTTATCCCCTTTCCTGGTTGCCTGTGTCTGAGGTAAGAAGGATGTAGATAGAATGACAAAGCATCCTGTGCATGTGCAACACCAACAACTCCAACCAGTGATGTCCGCAGGCTGGCAGCAACAGAAAATAAACCTTGATGTTAAAGTGATACATGGTACATGAGGCTAAGGGTTCATACAGATGTCATGAAAGACCATGTAACACCACCTTTGTATATGAGTTAGGTAACTGAAATGGATGTTTGGGACGAAGGACCTAAAGTGAGTTGAGGAGGCTGGAGAGTACTGGGGACTCAAAGAATTACAATCTCTTGAAGTATCTACAGACAGCTGATAAGGCTGCCTGATATAGGGCAATTGTTGGAAGATGTGGAACTCTTGTTAAAGTACCAGGTCAAAAACCAAGGTATGGTTGATATATCTGGACAAAGTGGGTTCAACCTCCACCAAATACACTATTGTTGATACGTGTGCCATTTCCATTGAGAAATGTCCATCGTGAAGAGACTGAGACAGGTACATGGCAACCTTAGAAGTGAAACCCCAATGCAATGCATAGGACTGCATAATATCCACGCATGAAGCTTGAGCTTCAGGAGGGATGGGTGTAAAATGTTGGATCATGATTGCCTCTACAGAGATGGCCAAAGGGGAAGTGGAAGAAGTGGGCACACCTGAGGTACTGCAGAAGCAGAAACCAAGGATGAACTGCCCAATCCAGTGCAACCAATAGAATGTGACCAGGGGTTGTGTGGGTAGGCATATAAGTGCAATCCAGTCCAATCCTGACTGAATGCATATATTGCCAATGCAACTCCAATGGAAAAACCCTCGATGAAGCATACATTCTGTCAGGAGAATCCAGTAGGGTCGAGACAACTGATCTGCCACCAAATTCCTCACCCCAGAAAATAGCCATCTAATAGAATTATATAACAGGAAGAATAGAAGATATAGAAGATCCAAAGTATAAAAACAAAGAGATGTGAAATGAATGCCCCCTTGATGGAAAATGTAAGACACTACCATAGAATTGTCAGAGTTTTAAGCATGAAGAATTTGCCCCTCAGTAGAATTCCAGATCTTGAGAGATCTCCCTTTGAACAGCAAGAAGTTTTAAAACATTAATGTGAAGTAAAGCCTCATCATCCATAGGCCCTAGAATTCCTGTTAAGATATGCACTTCATCTCTGAAGTGAGGCATCCATGAAACGATAGAGCACTGGACAAGGTGGCAGCAAGAGAACATCAATCATAGTATTGTTCTGATCCAACCACCACTCGAAATCAAAGATGTTGATCCTAAATAAGGAAATTGTGGAATCTGCTCATGATCCACTGGTCCTGTGGATACCATCAAAGGGATCACACATGCACTCATCCCAAAGGAAAGAGGGATTTGAGTGATACCCACATCCCCAAAAGATAAAGAACTGTGGGAGAGGGACGCACGAGTAAGTCAATGTGGAGCTGGATGGAACTCGACTGAGTCCGACTGAGATACGAGTTGAAAATAACACACAGATGGATGATATAATGTGTTAGAGTGAGAAGATGTGTCTCAGCTCTGATAAAAAATCCTGCCTTCTTTGCTTCAGAAAGCAGTAGCTGGGTGTGATGTGCTGTCAATAGACAAGATGGTGCAAGCAGTAGCCATACATCCATAGAATGGTGTGAGCCCAGGCCCAGGGAATGGAGGTGACGATAAAAGGTTTGTAAGATACATCAGAAGATGTAAGGAGCTGATGTTAGTCCAAAAAACAGAGCCCTGAACTACAGCACCATATCCTTGTGCACAAGTGAACAAAACACAAATAATGGTGGGAAAAATCTGCTATGGGAACGTGCAATAGGCATTGGAAACATTAAACTTGGTCATCCACAGTCCTGGTGAAAAATACCAATAAAGAGTAGAAACGACTCCACTGTGAAGTGTGCAGAGTCTAGGAATTGATATAGATGAGAAAGACTAATGACTGGACACCAAATACCCATCATCTTGAGCACAACAAACAGATGGGAATAAAACCCAGGAAGAACTGGAATGACTCTCTCTACTGCCCCTTGATCCACAAATCTCTGATAGCCATGGAACACAGTTGCAAAATCCAAGGATCTCTAGAAGGCAGAAATACTACAGGTTGGAGGAATAATGGTAGTGGAGATGTGAACTGAATGACTAATACTGATGTAAGGACCTGTTGTACTCATGGATCTGTGGTAAAGGTTTTCCACACATCCAGAAATTCTTGGAGCTGAGCCCCAAAGACCCTGAAGGCATATGGTACTTACCATTGTCAGTCTTCCACGCGAGCAGAGGAACCTCGTGGATATGGACAGAAACTATTCTGAGTACCCATGGACTGAGGGGTTGATGTTGGGGTTGGAACACTTGAACAGGGGTGGAACTATGATCCCCTGTAACAGCTGAGGAAAGTAAGAAGTCAATGATGACAAGGATGAATGCAGATGGGTGACATCAACTTTCGAATCCAAAGACTCTGGAATGCCTACAAAAATCAAGGGTTGGAGAAAAGGGCCTCACGTAACTTACGGAGGGCAGCAGCTGATAGACGAATATACCAGCCAAGAGACTAGGAAAAGTGCAGAAGCTGAAAATCTAAACAAGAACGATGCTAACAATGGTCCCAACACATCAAAGTGATGTGGTAATCACCGAGATGCTTCCTAAAAAAGGTGTAGGAATGATAAGTATTTCAGCACCAGAGGTAGGGTCAAACAAATCCTAGAAACCTGTGATCTATTCAGGTTGAACACAGACTCCATCTGGAAACACACATTTCCAGGAGCGGGTCTATTCTCTGAGAGTTTAAAGATGCTTAAACCTGGTGGTGGTAAGTGAAACCATGTTGTTCTAACAAATGTGGCAGAGAAGGCATAGCTATCCCTTCACGTAACTGAGCAGGAAAAACAAATAAAGGAATAACTTTATTCACTAGGTAAATGAACACATCACAGACCAACTAATTTATCTAAACTTATACTTGTTTCTAAATTTTCAGATTTTTTTTAGCATATTGCTTTTGTACCAAGAGGAATAAAAATGTCTGCAAACATCTACCTACATATACAAATATATACTAATGATGGTTAGTTTTCTTTATAGCAAATAAATAGTATAACAAATAAGTGTACTGTCTAGTGTTTTACATGTTTCTCAAATTCACTTACAGTAATTTCTATGATCCAGAATAACAAAATATAAAGTTTAGTATGCTAACAAGATGTAAAGGATAAAATCAGCTATTCTGTTGTATTAGGATGCAAACAGAACCAACTGTAACAGTTCACTATAACAACGTCATGTTTTACATATACATACGTGTAAAATTAATTTGTTGTCTTACAATTTTAATCATAAACATTTTCTAATCATCTTGCTTAAAGGGTGTTCATACTACAGTAGTCCCTTGTGGATACGACCAATAATGACTTTCTTTCAAATATGACTTTTTTTGTGTGTGCATGGAGTGATTTTACATTGATCTGACCTCCCACAAACGACTTCCACACAGATGCAACACGTGACTGTGATTTTTGGGCAGAAGGTCAAATAACGACTTTTCTTCATATTAATAATGTAATTTACAGAGACACATGAATACAATGTATAGAGTATGGAGGTCACATGACCGGAGATTGCTTGACAGCTTAGTATATGTATCTTGGAACCCTGGGGTGTTCAAATCAAACTCCTTGGTACATTTACGTAGATATGTTGTTTAAAAACTTTGATGTCTTGAAAGGTATCCATTAGTGGTTATTTGTCTTCTCCCTGCTCATGGAATTAAGGTTTATTCTTTTAGTGAATGTAGTAGATTTTGAGTTAGTGGCCTAGATGTTATGGAACTTGACTAGGATTTACTAGCAGGGTGTGAAGATTATTAGCTCGTGGTTTGTTGAGTGACAGACTTAACTAATCTGTGCAGTAAGCATGGCTAATGAAATGCCTCATAGCCTCTGGGAAATCTGTGAATGTCTCAAGCTGAGAACAGGAAGTCTCTGTGAAAAAGAAGGCGCAGTGTGTTGATATAGATATGTGACATGGACGTTGATATAGACCAAAGTTGTGATGAAAGCAACAAAATAAATGAAACATGGAAATTGTTTTAATGCAACATATTACACTTTATGTAGTATTTGTAATCAGAGAGGATTACCTTATTGGGTATTGGCTAGAGTCTAGCAATAATTTAGTTAAGATATTTATTCTTATTGCTTTACTGGTCGTTTTAAATTTGTGAAATGGTTCCTTTTCAGAGCTGTGATCAAAGGTTCCAAGTTTTAAAGTGAAATTTTGGTTTCGGGTGAGACTGTTTTGTTCAATTAAGATATGTAGCTTCCAATGTTTGGTTCTTTGTTTAAAATTACAGTGTTTTGTATAGATATGCTGTGGATTTTTTGAGTTGCAATGGTGATAAATATGGGATGTATTTTTATTATGTTTGGTGAATCTGGTTTCCAATTTTCTTCCAATTTCTCTGATGTAGAATTCTGGACATTTATTGCATGTTATCTTATAAATTGATATTAAAATCGTGCACAAAAAATTAACAAACAAATGCTTCTTGATATAATAACTTCCAGACTCGTTAACATTCAAAGTGACTCCGTTAAATGTGCAAAGCAAACAAAGATGGACTATTTTTTTAAGAAATAAATTTTGTGTCAGTTTATAATATTTTATATGTATGTAATAAAGATGTGATACATGGATGCTTATGAAATAAATGTGATTGATGAATAAATTATTTTTCATAACACAAAACAATTTTAAGTTATCTTTATTGAACTGTTATCCGTCATAACTACTATTGTACAGTGTATCAATTTGTTACGTTATCTGACTACCTATACAGTATATAAACCATTATGCTCAACCCCTGAGTATAGCACTGGCACAGCTGGAACTCAGTCATTTGTTATCTGGTTATTGATCCTCTGAACAACGACTTTTTGTCAAATGCGACTTTTTTTTTATCATGGCAAATAGATCGTTCGTATCTAAGAGAGACTACTGTACAATGGATATCTCATAGTACTAGCTTCATCCTGTTTCTATGTTCTATTTCCTGGGTTGAGATAAGTCCATTAAAAGTCATGCACACATACTTGTACAAGCTAGTTTGAGTTGGAGCTTTTATCCATTGTGTATATTTATTTGATATATCATTGACATAAATAATCTAAGGGACTGTGAGATAGTGCATTAGGACCAAAGTGTCACAATAAAAGTGGGTTATCTCTGTAATTCTGTTTCTTTCGATTTGATTCCCATCTTCATCTGTAAATAAAGGTTTTGTTTTATCTGTTCACTTGCAATATTAATTTTTCTTTGCAGCTCATATCTTATTTTAATACTGTGCATAACACTTCCAGAACCTGCATTTTATGGACAGTTAAGTTCTTTCTGGTGGATAGCAATGTATCTGAATACCACACGTACAATGAATTTACTCCCTCACTTGTGTTCTTGCTTCATTCACATACTTATCAGTATAACAAGTCACACTATAATACAGCATATACTCACCCATTCTACTGTAAGTTTGTCTCGATCGATTTGCTATATTCCTTCCCTGGATCATTCTACCTCCATCCCAGATCTTAACGGTTCCATCATTTGAACAAGTAGCAAACAATGATGTGTTAGGTATTACCTGAAGTCTTAAAGGGGAAAACAAAGAGAGGAAATAATACAGATTTCTTTTAAAAAATATATGTGTGTATCAACACTGGTCATGTACAAGTGTTTTGTAATTTATTATTAGCCTCTTCTCGTTTAGAACATATTATTCACCATTATCATGTACAAGTGTTTTGTAATTTATTATCAGCCTCTTCTTGTTTAGAACATATTATTCACCATTATCATGTACAAGTGTTTTGTAATTTATCATCAGCCTCTTCTCGTTTAGAACATACTATTCACCATTATCATGTACAAGTGTTTTGTAATTTATCATCAGCCTCTTCTCG